GACCATTAATTGTGATCATTTATTTTGACCTCGTATGTCTGATCCACACTGTACAGAGGACTCCTCTGAATAAATTCTTACTGGAACAAAAATGCACCACTTAAAAAACAAAAAAACCCAAAACAAAACAAAAAGCAGCCTCCTTCCTCAAATAAATCCATACCAGTCTTTTGAAAAGCCTTGGACTTAAAAAGTGTTGGACTATCCATCACAACATCCAGTAATTTCTTCAAAATTATAGGTACTCCTTCTATAAATTACAAACCCAGAAAGAAAAACATGCAAATAATTCTAAATCTATTTGCATAGCTCTTTTAGGATCAAAATTAGCACGTTGGAAATATATGTATGTATGTATGACATACAAATCTATGAGCACAAGTATCACATAATGTAGCAACTGAAATATCCTTTTAACAAAAATTCTGCATCATCTCACAGTAGCAGCAGCTTTCTGTGATCAAGATCTCCTGTAATATTTCAAAAATGTCAGTGGATAACAGAAAAAATGTTGTAAATACAAAGCACCATTATATTTGAATTGTATATTTCTACTATATTGCTAGAGATGTGAGTCATGGTAGACAAGGAAAACTCTAATGCATTGGTAACATAACGTCGAACCACAATGAAAAGGAATGATAGGGAAAATCTATGTTCCTAGGGACTGTCACAAAAAAGGGAAAAATAAAACCCCTGGATTTTTAAAGCTACATGATTATTACTGCACAATGTTTAGGATAAATTCCTAACTGTGTGTTTGGAGGGAAGCAGAAGTGGGAAGGGGAAGCACATTTGGCAGCATATTAAAGGACTCTGTATTCTGTGGTCAGTAACAGTAAGCAATTTTTACCATAGCCTCATGTTGGACAAGACAAAAGAGAAGTATATTCTCATCTTTAGACTCCATATAAAGCTCACTGTTTTATCAGTTTACAGATGAAGTATAAAATAAAAATAAAATAAAGAGAAAAAAAAAATCTTCTAAAAATCTTGAAATGTCAATTGCCTATGGGTATGCTTCTATGGAGCAAGGAATAGGTCAGGACATAAAATGGTTCTTTATACCAAAAGAATCAAGCTTCAGAACATTTTTTAGGATTGAAAAGATTTGGACTCTTATGAAATAAAACATGAAAACCAGTTGGCAGCCATTTAATGTTAAGTCAAAGCAAAAACTATTGTAGATTCCTTGTTTCAGGCTTTTTATGGGTTCCTAACTGATCATACAAGATGGTTTTGTGGCTCTTTTGTATGGACTGAATGGGGTTTGCTTCTGCTTTTCAGCTAAGATATCAACCAGATTTTATCAGTCCTATGCTCATGTGCTTTGGGAATGGTTTATTGTCCCCTGTCTTCTTTACCTAGATGCAAATATATTTCACAAGAAGCTACAGAAATGAAAACCAGCTGAAATTAGTATTCCACTCCCATATCAATACTTAAGGTGGACAATGAAAATTTAAAATGGACAAAGTGATTATAAACATTTAGTAGCCCTGGGGGTCATTGAAGTCTTTCCTGTAAAACTGAAAGTGATAGACTTCTGGGATTTCAAACACAATGATGTTATTCACAAAGGTCCCGTAATTTCACAACCCCCTGCCCATCCATTTCTATTAGGACAGCTCTTAGAAAAAGCCCCATCAAACACAAGGAGGTCTACTATCAATTCTGCCAGCACTACCTACTTAAATCATGGCTAAATTTGCACAGTTAAGTATCGTGGTCACTGCTGCCACAATTTCACACCACAGAAAACTTAAAGAGTAGGGGAGCTAGTGCAAGAGCATTAGTAAAAAATACATAACATATTTATTGTTTCTTATGTCCATGTAAAATAAAAGAAACAACAGACCTTATCTTAAAGCTCAACTGGAGAACAGTAGACAAAGCAGGTTGGTTACTACTGGAAATCCATGGATTATCATTTAAACACATCATAGAAGTTTTTTTGGTGTTCCCAGAGAATATCACCCTCTCAGTGACACCTACAGAAACTCTTGTTCCTTTAAATGCACTAAGACAAATAAAACCACAGGTAGGCAGAGCAAGTTATTTCCAAAGAAGTACACTAAAACCTGAGGTCAGTGTGCCCAGAGAAGTGCAGGGCAGCTCATGAGTTCCATAAACAGGATACAAATTGCTGAGGAATGAAAGTGGCCTAAAATGTACGACACAAAGGAAAGGCACTATATTGATATCCAGAGAGATCAGTGATCTCAGACATAGCTGAAAACCCATACTCAATTTTCTGCTTTGCCACTCAGCTGGAGTGAAGCTACATTTCATGTGTGCCCTGTTATTTTCCTTTCCTCATTTTCTGCTGCTGGGTTTCTGTAAGAAACAAAACTCTGACTAGACAGACCAATGTTCTATCCCAACACGGTAACTTCCCCGTGACACAAAGCATCTGTTTGTGGCTAGCTCCTTGTGACCTTCAAGGAATAACCTTCCCTCTGGCAACTCCGGGTATCAGCACAGCCTTGGCCCTGGATATGCTCATTTTGGATCACCTTTCTTACCGGCAACCCAGAAAATTCTCTAGAAATGTAATGTTTTATTAGACTGATGGGAAGTAGTTAAAACATGTCTACCAGCGGATGTACAAAAAGCCATGAGATGAATTCTGTGATTTGAAACCAGGGGCTCAAAAGTAGTAATAGCAATATCAACAGTATCAACTTTTTCAGCGTACTGAGATTTTTTAATGTATTTGTTATTACAAGTCAGATAACAAATGATTGCTTCTATTTGGTTTTTGGGTTTATGTTCAACATTGGGGGGTCATACAAAAAATTTAGCCAAGAGGAAATGTACATACTTAGCCCAAGATTATACTCTGCTATTTAGTACATGGTTTAGAGCATGAATAGAAATAAACCTTTCTCAAGATGTCCTCAGCATGTTCTGAGAGGCAGAAGTGCTGAACAGATAAAACTCAAGAGTTGTACTTCCAGTTCTGCCTCCAGCCAGCTGTGTGAGTTTGAATTCAATATTTCATTTCTCTGTGCTCTATCTCCCTTTCTCTTCTATTTAGAATGTTGGTTTTACCGAGTAGAAGCCGCATCTTACTCAAGGAGACCTTCATCCTGATTAGATCCTCTAGGCATTCCTGCAGTATGTACTTATAATGCATCATAAGCTTTCCTTCTCTTTATGATTATCTATTATTCATATTGTGGTAGTGTCTAGAGACCAATAAGTTAAGATTATGACAAGATACAATATATGGATAAAAACAGATGGCAGGTGGATAGTTAATAATAAAGATGGGTGTATGTACATAACTTAAAGATGTCAGTAACTACTAATGCTCCTCTTTTCCAATTAGATCTAATGATCATTTTTTTCCTGTGTGCACCGAATGAATTTGTAGCAATTCCATAGTAGCTTTGCCTTCTTTAGAGTTGACACATCTCGTTTTTATTATGTGATATTTTTAAAGGTTATAAAATTACTAGTGGCATGAAGAGTTTATACATTTTTTTTCATCATTAAAATACCACAATTTACTACAAGTTAATATCCAGGAAATGTGGAATACTAGAGAAATAACAAATTAAAAGAAATACTAGCATTAGCTGCTCTACTTAGCAATGCAGTAATTTTATAGAGGTTAAACCTGCATTTGAAAGATTTGAAAATTTCAAAGATGAGAAAAAAATTTTTTTGGGGGGGGGGGGTGAAAAACTCCTCCCCCCCCCCCCCCCCAGCAACCTTTGTAAGTGTTAATATTTTTAGTGCCTCTCATTATCAGGCCCAGATTCTGCCATCTTCCCCTACGTAAAACTACATACTGCACGTGGATAGTCCCTATAAAAGCTTTTTCGTATAAGTAAAACTAACTAATAAAGCTACCCTTAAATGAATAAATATTCAGTTCTGACGATTTCTACCTCGATGCAATGTACATTTTTTACTACACTGATTCATATTAGTAATTATAGTAGTGCCCAGAAGATGCTCAACGGCAAGAAAAAAACCGAGGCTTTTGACAACCATTCTTGACATCATAGAGTCACAGAATGGTTGAGGTTGTCAGGGACTTCTGGAGGTCATCTGGGCCAAACCCCTGCTCAAGCAGGGCTACCGATAGCAGGCTGCCCAGGACTGTGTCTATACAGGTGTCTGGCAGGATGTGCATAGGTTATAACCAATACAACAAGAGGAATCCAAGGCTGTTCAAGGCATTAAATTACTTGGGTTTATACCCTGTAAATATCTTCCAAATTTGTACCCGACTTAGAAGGGGGAAAAACAGTTGAAATGTTTTAATGAGACACAATTTTTGCCATAGCCTTTTTGAGTTAACTGTTTTGGAAACAGAAAATCAGCTCAGTTAGCCAGAATTCATCCCAGATCTCTCTTCCAGCTCAGATTGTCCCATTGTACTCCAGCCATATAGTCATGTAAAATGGTTGGCATCTAAAGATGATGACTTTCACTGTATTGCAGATATATGTGAATATTCATCATTACTTAAGTTTATAATGCAGGTAAACCCAATGGAGTCAGCAGAGTGTGTGATCCCAGAGCACAACTCTAGTATAATAAATTCAGTAGTCACTTGAATTTTCTAGAGAAGGTCAACTAAGAGTTTAAACATGAAAAACAGCACTAAAAAAACAAAACTTTTAAAAACACACTCCAGAGTGGAGTTTTTACATTATTTTAGTACTTTGAAAGACTGCTTTCTATCTTGTAAGATTTTTGTTTTGTATTCTGTGATTATAATTGCACAGACATTAGTAATTATAGAGCATGGAGCTACAATTCTGTTGTTGAAAGAGATTTTGCACAAAGTATTTCAGGAAGAAATAACTGCGGTATGACCATGACACAATTTAACTGTCATCACAAAATTAAGGTTTCATCTAAAGTTTACAAATCTTGCTTAGACTCTGTCTAAGTGCTATTTAGGAGAGCTTCTCACTGTATGCAGTCTCGAATAGGCAGAGAGTTTGAAAGGGGTGAAGAAGAGAATAATCTCTACTCACCTATAGTTGGATCGTGATAGTCAGGGAACCGATGGCTTATGAACTGCATTGTCATTGCTGGAGAGAAGAAAGACAGAGAGAAGAAAAAAGAATTATATTAGTCTTTAAATGACAACAGAGAAAAGAAGAAGCAGAGAATTCACTCATCCAGAATTCAGCTTGAAAATGAGACAAAATTCAGTCTTATATATATAGCTGCAAGAATGCATTGGCATTATAGTGATAACTAAGAACGGATTAATGAAAAACACATGAATGAAACATCTTTAATTGTCTTACTTTCTTCTTTTTTAAACTGCATTTTAACAATTGCTGTATTAAAATGTTATATCATTTTAACACCTGGTAGATACTGTTAACCTGATATTGTATACAGATGAAAACTGCCATGAAGAAAGCACAAAACATAATCTACAAAGCTGATTCATAAAAGTTTTCATGATGTTACAAAATGCCACTAACTGCAGTACCTGATTTGATTTATGGTGTATTCAAGCTCATGGACTTTGAATAACCACGAAACTGGGCTTGGGTATTCAGTGGTCACAGTAATATCATCAGTTATCAGAACAACATGGGAAGTTATTTTATCTTTATTGGTTTTCCTCAGGAGTTTGAATCTCAGCTCATTTGAAAAGTAAAGGTATCTACCTAGCACTGAGAGCTGTGAAGAGAAGACCTTCAAAAAGGAAATAGGTGAATATCAACTGAACAGAAGGACAAAAAAATAGGACCTAACAGATTTTTTTTTAAATATTGCTTGATTTTTAAGCCAATTTCATTATTTTAATTTTTCATGTTTTTTTAATGCCTGCATTAAAATTCCTCTATAGCTGCTATGTGGACATTTGTTTAAAAAAAAGTACCCCACCTGAATGATAACTATCAGTCACAACACGTTAAATCAAACATGAGATCCTGCCTTATGCCTTGAACGTCTCAGTTACCTTCAATAGCAGAGGTTATGAACAAGAAGTGCGACATTTAAAAAATTCTGCATATTAATACACCCATTTTTAAAACTGCATTTAGTTTAATGTTTGTCCTCCTTATATTTCCAAGAATCAGGGGGTTAAGGAGATAGTTTTACAAAATGATACAGACACTGAGTATTAAACATTTATTACCATGTTAATAAATTATTGCATCTTTAGTGTAGACAAATATAAATGTTAAGAAGCAGCATTATAAATTCATAGTAACTCAGAGAGGATAACTGTAAAAAAAAGCTCATTCAGTCTATACATATTATAGGGGAATAAATCTACGTGCAGTGACACTCATGTCTTCTGTATTATCTGTTGTCAGATGCATTACTTTTAAGTACTGTGTATGTTTGGACACTTTCATTTCCAGGACACCTGGTTTTTTAATCACGACAGATTTTTAGGCACCTCCATCTGATAACTGTTAGTGGTTTATGAAGAATAAATTGATGCCTAATGTGATCTGCCTAGTTTGCTCTGAGAAGCAGAGGCAGCTAGCAGAGATGCTGTTCATATGGTTTATGCCTACACATTTTGAGTTTTCTGAGGGCCTATACCACAAATGAATTCAATTTTCTTTACTACCTGCTGCTTTTTCCTGCCAAGATTTTTTTTTAAAAGCAAACTACTCTGTATCTGATCTCATTCTGTTTCTTTTTGGAGCTATGCTTGCATCACAAAATCTGTTGTTAGAACTGAAATGGAAATTCTCAGAGGACACCCAGAAATCATGGTAAACATTTTTGCTCTCTCCTGAGACAGCCCCAAATCAATACATCATTTATATCCTCATCAAATCCACAGGATCTAAGAGGACTGAAATAATTTGGAAGCATCATACTGACTTTCTACTGTAACATGCAAAATGTTAGCCATTGGGACGTGTAAAATTTATATCCCCCAGACCACTCTGTGTGTGTGAATATGCATCATCAAAACTTTTACAGGAACCTAGGCTGCACACAGTGCTTTAGAGGCAGATCAGAAGAAGAGCTTATGTCTTGTAATGTCAAGTGCAACAACACTGACTTGTATATGCCTGGTCCTAGTCTCAGTCCAGAGCTCTGCATGAGCTGCTTTGGTTATATATAAAATGAATCTGGAGAGGTACAGAATTTGAGAAAAGTGTTCAGAGAAGCACTGTACATAATGAAATGAAAACATCTTGCCATCAGCTGGCTAGGGAAACGGTGAATAAAAGCTTCCTTTTACATGCATTTTATCCCACAAGTGCCTCCATGAAAGCCCTTTGTCAAGGGGTCTTCCTAATTACCAGGGTAAGGAACCTCTTTGGCCTCTTTAGTGCTTGTCACCTCCTGCATGGGGATTAGCACCCTCTTCCAGAAACAGGTTACGTGGTTTTGTTTTCTCAGACAGAAGGAATGGAGGTACGCTGATCTGTTTAATCACTGAATTACAATGTAGAATAAGGAAACTGGGGTATAAGAGGTGGGAATTGCAACCCATCTTCCTCTGTGTGTTCTTTAAAATACGAATTTGCATTTTCTGTTAAACCCGACTGAATATTAGTGCAGGAAACATTTTCAGAGCAGGCGTAACAGGCCATTTACTCTGAGGGAAAGGAACAGCTAGCTTTTGACGTGGAACAACAAACCCCTTACTTCATGAGGACAGGGGACAAGAAGTCTCAAAATATCAGGTCAGATGTACAACAACAGTCGTGTCCAGATTTACCAGATATTCCACAGTCTTGGCTGCTAGACATGCAGAAATTAGTTCTGAATGATGGTCAGAATTTGGTGGAATGCTTCCCAGAGCAAAGGAAGGCTCAATCACACTGGCATGAAACCACACAACTCAGCTGGAGCCTCGGGAATTAGACATGTTTATAACCAACTCTGTCTGGGCTCCCCAGCAGGACAGCTGCCTCAGCTGGAATATACTGGCCTCTTCCCTGACACTAACATCAGTTCCAAAGTCATTTTCCAGAGCAAATTAATTTTGAAAATTAATACAAAAATGGCACGGGTATTCCATGCTACTTTATGAAAATATTCTCCTTGGTCCCTCCTTTTCTCCTTATCCATTATCCTTTTTTCCATATAAATTGACACTCACACCTAACAAATCCAAACCATCATCAGATACGGTTGTGACCATTTTCCTTTGGAAATCCCAATAATACTGCTCGAAATTTTTACAGATCTATAAATTAGGGACCTTTAACTCTAATTTATGCCACACATAAAGCACTGAATCAAAATGTGGCTTTAAAGCAGGATATTAAAACAGAATAAATGGATAAGACCGATATTTGAATAAATACATATACATGTAAAAGCAGAGTCCGTTAAAAAATGGTAAAAAACAAAACAAAACAAAACCTTTTAATCCATAGCAGATATTGTGAAACATTTTGAATTGCAAGTTGCCTGAAAATTTTTAATGAATATTTTATAACACTGTGAAGATCATTCCATTTAAATGGGACATGTTCATCACATGGCAACTACAATAAGTAAAAGGATCATTGTTTCAGATGAATAGTATCTTCTTTATATCCATCTGTGGCTAAGCAAGTGCAGATAGCCTCAGCTGAATAAATGTAAGCCTGATATGCATGAGTAACTATGTAACTTTAAAGTTCTCTTGCATTTTTTAAATAAAAAAGGCGTTCAGATCCTGCATTTATTTTTTAGTTGTTTCCAATTATGCTTATCCAATGTCCATTAACTATCTAGAAAGGTATACATGATATCGATGTTGGCACTGAAATACATATTTTCTGTGAATGATAAACTTAGTCCTGTCTGCTACTTCCAATGTAATTCCTACACCCTTTCTAATATTTTATTTACCTCCCAGCAGGAAATGCCATGCTTAGAAAAAAAGGCTGAGGTTATATTATTTATTCTAAAGCAACCTTTTGATCAGTGCTACAATATTAAATTCCATGTAAAGAAGGTACCAACTTTTTAAAATATATGTGTTTGTGTGAGCCCATAGGTCAATAGAAAAAATGCTTCAATACCAATGCAGTTGTGAGAGCAGATACAGTAGAATCCCGCTGTCCTTATAACTTGTTCTAAATGTGATTTATACCAACAACTTTGAAAGTAGTCCTATACCTATTTCTCAAGGCTGGAGAGTATGTTGTGAGCTTATGCAATATTCTTTATAGTAATAGTATCTCTGATGTGAATATCTCATCCTGAGCTTCCTATCCCTCTTTATTCACCCAGGAACTTCCATGTATTCGTACTCTCCTCCTGGGTGCTGTGTATAACTGTATATTAATCCATTTCCAAAAGAATCTTTACCCTCATCACAAAATCCTGCACTTTAAATAGGCTAACAAAATGACCACAGTAGTTGCAACTCAGAGATCTGTGATTCCGTATGGTTGAGTCACTTTAGTTTAGATCCACTATTCCAGTGGATCTTTAACTTGGGTTTTTATAGACATTGAGGTTTCGAAGATACCAGCATAGAAGATGGACTTAAAAATAATATAATATGGTAAAAGCAGTGGATTTATAGATTAGTTGATGAAGTTCATGAGAAAAGAAGAAAGCGTATAGGTATTATTAGCATAGAGAAGGTGGCAAAGAAGCTACAGAGTCTAAAACCAGAACAGTACATCATATTAACAAAGTATGCACCAGAAGAAGAGACTTTGTCACAGAAAAGAAAAAGCAATAAATGCGCTGAAAGTTTAAGAGACATCCTTCCCTCTATCAATCTGTAAAATTAAATAACTTTCTAAAAACATGGCCAGGGCATGTTGAACATACTTGATTTTGTTCTTTTGATAAGGTGTTTGTGTGTGTGTATATATATATATATGTAAAAATGTTACAATCTCAAAGTTAGACTATTTCAGCAACCAGACAAGCATTTTATTACTACTATTTTATCTCTGAAATATTGGGTGATTTGAACAGTTCTGGTTTTTCTGATGGTTTCAAACCCACAAGACCCCAGGTATCATCTTCTAAAATGTACGATCTTTTCAAATGTTCATGCCTGAAAACTGGAACGTTGCCTTCTGTTTCATTGGCTTGGAAAAATGACAAACATCCTTATAACTAACTCTTTTGGAACTCAT